ATCTGCGGAGCCTTGTACAAATAAATTCAATACCCTAGGTCAGTGATTCTTAAACTGTGGGCCACAGCGCCCCGGGGAGCCGCGGCCTCTTTACAGGGACGCCGAGAAATATTGTAAAAGCTTCAATGTGAGAAAATGTGCAGTGATTTGCAGGCTCATCCATCACACTAATTATTAAATATTAATTTAATGTTAATAAAGTCAAAAAAATTATCAAGATACACGAGTTTTATTTATTTTTATCTCTTACGAATATTCATAATTAGGGTAGGGCGCCATGGAAAAATTTTAATTGTAAAAGGGCGCCGCAACTAGGAAAAGTTTGGAAACCACCTTCTTAGGTATATTTGGGACTTTTTAAATATATTACTCGTGATTGCCCTTTATTATTACCCTATATTCTCAAATAAACGCTGACTTGTGCAACCTTGAAGCTTCTTTTTACATAAGTATTATTTACATGAAATTGCTTCGAAATATTTATTGCATTGAATTACATTGAATTATATTTTTTCATTAATATATTACCTAAAATAGATTCTTTAATGCTTACCTAAGAAAAAATACTTTTATGCTTTCTACTTTTTTCAGGGTCACTTGTGTTCGTTTTTTGCAGTCCACCAAATTTGCGTTTTCCTCTGATAAAGGTGGTGTTATTAAACAATGGGATATCAAAAAATTGATCGAGATTTGTTCAATGCAGGTCAATTTTGATTAACATACTTTTCTTGTAATCAAGCTTAAGATCGATTATCAACCCTTCTCCTTTGTAATGCTTTAATTTGGTGCTATTTTAGAGCCATATAGATGGAACTACCTGCCTAGCCTGTATGGCACAAAAGCCTTACCGTGTGAGCCATATTTCTCCGCTAAAAAAGAAAAAACGGCGTTTTCGAGATTCTGCCCAATCGGTAGAAGACAACAATGACGATGAAGATGACTTTGATGAAGACGCTTGTGGCGGTATATTAGTTTCCACAGGTCGGGATATGGCAATTCGCGTCTGGCTCGAGACGGACGGATTGCTGGTGGTGGAGGATGAAGCTGAAAAGCTTCGTGCGGCGGAAGCTGAGGAGGAAGAGCTGACAGCAGCCGCGGAGACATTAGTGCCGGGAGCCACACCGGCAAATTTGGCTAGCGCGGGTCTCCTTGGTCGTCCCACAGTTAATACCCGCAACGCGGTAAGCCAAGACTATCTTCATCTTATTTACGAAATCGAATGATACAAAATCAACAACTAACAACAATTAAATAGTTAATTATATTTCCTAGCCTATTTTTTACCCTGCAATATGTGCATATATATGATTGATAGATATACCTAACCTGTATTACATACCAGCATGTGATTTTGTTGCCATTCAATCCACGCTGTTTGTCCAAGCGTCTTCCTTATGTTTTCCTATGATCTATTTTCTTTAAATATACTTTACGCCGTGATTAATCAGTAATTTTCATTTTTAGGCCACATTAAGTACCAGGCTTCGAAAGTAGCATGTGATATTTTATAACACTAGAAGTACCCTAAGTCACATAGCTTAATAAAATGCCCGACAGTTGAGTTTCCTACGGTTAAATAAGTAGCCCTCACCATGCTAATAATTTTCACATGGATTTTTAGTTAATCTAAATTATTCACTATTAATATGTGCTTCGCCTCGCATAGCTGAACAAAAAGACGAGTAACGGAATGGCTTGAACATAAGAAGAATAGTTACAGATGAGGATTTCGATGTGGGAAAAACAACAACACTGGTGAAGAGGTGTTAATGCAAGAGCGCACTATTCGTTCACAGAGGGTAACGACGGCATCAGAATTTGTGAAGGGGCAAGGAGTAGTAGTCTAGGTAGTTTCTGACTTAAAATATTCTTGTGTTCTTTTTAAGCCACGTTCTGACTGGTTCAACGAAGAGGATCTATGCGGTAACTGTGTTCTCTTACTCCTTTTAATTTCGTTTGTAGAGATGAGTGGAATGGATTTGTAAGTTGGCCTCACCGGAAGTTGTAGGAAGATTGTCTAGGAACTGTGACTAGATATTAACATCCTTACATGTTTTATATATGCTCATATATATAATGGTCTTAGACTGGCTAGTTATGACATATGGTTTCTTAACCTGACTTGGACGCGTACAAATGACATCTCATTATTTCAACCAGAGATGCTGACCGACATACTCAATCTATTGTGAAATAACTGTTCAGCTCTATCTTACATGTTACATATACTCATAAATAAAAGAAGAAAATATATAGATACAAATGTGAGAGATATCTGTGGGCCAATACATAAGAGGTTATTCTAGCACAAAACATTCTGCAAGAGTATGTGGGTCCAAAAATCTGAATTGGCTGAACACATGGCTCGCATAGGACACTATATAGATTGGTCTAATGACAAACGCTTAGCTGGATATGAGTACTATATCAACCAGTAAGCGAAAGATTATAGAAGCGATAAAAATCAACAAAACAGCCAACACCCTGAATAGAAGGAATGAGTGTAGGAAGTTAAGTGGAAACTACTTGTGGCTACTGTATAGAGTTAGAGTATCGGGGGGGGGACGAGGGGACGAGAAGTCCCACAAGCAAGAGGAGCAGGCTTGATTAGGCTCAAATCTGGTTTTGACTCTGACATCACACTCATTTCAAGAGCAATGCCTTCACACAAAACGCGTGCAATCGAACGCAATCACATGCGCTAACATTGTACGTTCAAAGGTATAAGTAATTTAGGGAATGATGCAGCTGTTCGGTCACAATTGCGCCGATGACCTAATTGCACAAATCTACAATCACAGCTTCAATGCAATCCCCTCATAGCTTCCAGTGGAACCAACTTGCGAATCCTTCCACTCGCCACTTCAAACGAAATGAATTGTACTCCAATACCAGTAAATCAGCCATATGAGATGTATTCACCCTATTTCGTTTCCCTATCATTCATACAAACATGGTAAAGAGATCGAGTCAAGAAAATTATTGGCTTAATGCTGTATGCATACCGTATATCTGCTTTTTAATGATGTATAAGGTTACTTGATTAGTTCAAGCTATATGTTAATCTTAAGCATGTGTGTGTTTGTGTGTATTTATCTATACCAAACGAACAAGGATAGCTCAATGCAATTAGAGCAGTGGACAAAAATATATAGAAAGATGATCTAATTTAGAACCATGACAATAAAAACTATTTGCGTCACCTTGTTTCTTCATCATGCTCAATACCTCTATCCTTGATTATATCAATTAAGTATATGTAGTCTTTATCTAATTTATTACCCGCATTTTTGGTATTTACTCTATTGTCTATTCGGTTAGTTTCGATGGTTACTAATTCTGCGCATAGCTGTAGACATACCATTATCACCAAAGCAACAGGTTTGAGATTATTGATTCTCATTTCTAATTTTTGCTGTGTGCTCTTCTAGCTTTGATTTTTTGAAACCAATAGCCTCTACAGACACTCCTGTGTTTATTCACCTTTTGTTAAATACGACGACAAGTCTCTCATATAAAAGTTAATACATCAACAAGCCGGATTGTATAATTGATCAAATTTCAAATGATGGCATAATTGAAGAAAATGTAATGTACCCTTAAAACTATTTTTACTCCACACTTTCTTACTAGTTCGTCTATCTTATTAGAATGAGAATTCAAATACATAGTTTAGACATAAGAACATATAATGAGATGTATTCACCCTATTTCGTGTAAGGTGATGAAGGACTGGTAGTAGAATTTTCCCACAA